TAAATATGCCCTCCGTTCAACGTCACTTTGTTAAAGGCATACAAATCTGAAATGTGGTCAAAAAATAAGAGCGAGCATTTACCGTGACGGAGAGAGCAGTGGAGTAAAGGGAGCTTGATCAGGCTAGGGAGGTGCAGGATACCATTGCGACTGCGCGAGCAAGTATAATTCGTTGAGCAGGACAGGCTGCTAGCGTTGCTGAGAATGCGCGAACATCTCCCGTCAACCAGTAGAAAATTATATACCTCAGTTTACCTAATAGGTGCGCACATACATTGAACAGTTGGCAGGTTCTGATTGAAAATATGTAGTTCAAGATCGAAAGGCAACGCATAACTTCCTTGGCTTTCTAGGAATATCGCACCTCCAGGGCGTCTTTGAAGATCTTACTGGTACAGTAGTCCCCGTCTTTTCCTCTCAGACATAGATCCAGAGCGCCGCGCGAAAGCGTCTTTTCTGGGATTCCTTCTGGTGTTACTTGGAACATTGGAATTGAAGATTAGGGGTGAGATTAAGTATCATGTGCAATAAAGACATGTTTGGATACAGTCTGTGTTTCATCTCTTAGCTGCAAGCACAAATCCAACGCAGCGTGTGGTAGGGCGTCTTTTATGATCTTACTGGTGCAGTATCCTCGTCTTTTCCTCTCAGACATAGATCCAGAGCGTCACGCGAAAGCGTCTTTCCTGGGATTCCTTCCGGTATTATTTGGAAAAATAGAATTGGAGATAAGGGATCAAATTAAGTATCATGTACAAAAAAGACATGTTTGGGTGCGGTCTGTGTTTCATCTCTTAGCTGCAAGCACAGATCAAACGCAGCGTGTGGTTAGGAGTGGAAATCATCAGTACAGCCTCCTAACCGCCATGTATGTGATGAGCGTGTGTCGAATAGCGTGAGAGCACAGTGATGAAAAGACAGGGGAGAAGATGAGAAAGTGATGTGAAGAATAAAGAGAATTGGGGGGAAGGTGGGGGGGCAGATTTATTTTTGAGTCATTTGGTTTTTGATTTCGTCATCCTTGAAAAAAATGAAAAAAAAATTGGTATAGAATTAAAAAATTGATATATTTAGCTATCTGTAAATGTCTCTGTATTGGACTTGTTTGATTTTCTGACTTACACTGATTTAGACTAATTGTTATAAAGGAAAACTTTCACTCAATTGCACATTGCGCACTTTTTTAACATACAGTATAAACGCGGGAGGTAGGGCGGGGAGAAGGGGGAGGAGGAAGGAGGGGATAAGGGTGAAGAGTAGCACAGATTTTGGTTTTTCGGCGGAGCCGGTGGGAAAGCATTACTGCCCGGGCACCCATTTTCGTTAAATCTTTTGATGAATCACAAGTAAACTTGTTCGGGTCGGCTAGGAAAGTTTTTTGGATCGATTCTAGAAGTGCTATCTAATTTTCGACCCCATACAGGTAGTGTTTTTTCAGGTGTCTCTGCTCAGGTTCTGAGTGCTTTAATTGGTAATTCGTCGAGTAGCGCGTACAGTCGAATTATGGGGAAAGTTATGCGAGTTCTTGTAAGTTTTGTATTTCCTGATGAATTAGACTCGATGAACTGGGATTTTAGCAGTGGCAGCGGAGATGGGAAAGTGAGGAGATGGGAGCTCAAGTACTTTGTTTCTGGAGGACTATTTAGAATCGCGATGAAGCGATTACATGTAATTGGTCTGATCATTAGTATCACTTATTTTTCATTTGTATTTATTGTTCTCCGTATCATGTAGAGTCAAAATTAATACGGGCAGCGATTTTACAGTAGGGCTTGGAGGGCCGTAAGCCCGACGATCGCTTTTTCCGTAAAACAACTACAAAATTTTGAGATTTTAGCGTTATTTCTTTCATGAATTAGTTGTCTCACTGACGATTGTAAGTTTTTTAGTTCACTTATTAGTCACACACACACACATACACACACACACATACACATACATAAATACGCAAAATTTTAGCGCTCAGTTGAAATTTTCAGCCGGATAAATCGGATTGCGAACATTGGGTAGTGGTGTATATAACAGTTTTCACAGTAAAATCTTTGTTTTCCGACTTGCTTGTGCTGTTTTCAAGATAACGGAACATAAGTTTTGCTGAAGATTAAATAATGCTGCCGTATGGGCCACGATCGAGAATTTTTGTCTCCTTAAAAAGAAAATGTCCGGGCGGTTTGAAAATCTTAGCCCGGAAGAAATTTCCTACTTTCTCCTCCTTTTCAAGATGTAATTACCTGTATTATCTAGCATAGTTATCGGCACGTAGTATGATGTCCAAAATAATTGTACTTTAAATTTTAACCATTAATTTCATTTGCAAACAGTACAACTTGAGTGTTCCTGCGTAAAAGTTATTGAGTGTCTGATTTTCTGTGTGATTGAATGACTGATTTTTCCCAGCAGATGAATGAATTTAGGGTTGGATTAATATATTCCGGATCTGAAAAAAATTTTTTTCTGATTTTATCTGGAGAAGAAATTGATTTTTGTACATTTTTCGTTTTGGAGCGTTGACGGGGATTAGTTAGCAAATGAGAAATATAAGTGATGCGTTAATTTTGAGCGAATTTCAAGTCAAAGGTTTTCGACTCGGCTAATGTGGTAACCAGCTTCATTTTTTGCCTCAAATGTTAATTGCCACTGTCAAAGATCCAAAACCGCCATAGTTTATTTGTAAGTTCATACTTGTAAAATAAAAAAAAAGTTTAAAATTCGATCGTGGTGGAGCTTCGTACCGGGCGTCAACGACGGCTTTGAAGTGCCTGCGCTTATCAGTATAATCACAGATGGAGCTTGAGTATTGTCCACTTTGTTGCATATAATGCTGATGACCTGAATCAACTTTTGAAGTGCACTGGATTCTCAGGGAAAAAAAGAGAAAGGTTAAGTGCCTGAGAACGAAAAAGGCTCAGATTCGGAACTTGTCTGTCGTCCTGGATTTATAATTCTGTGCCTAGTAAAATTAACAAATCTTTATTTATTCAAAAAAAAAAAGAAAACAACAGTGCTACAAAGTATCCTCACAGACCTCAAACACACACAAACCAATGCATCAAAACAAAACAAAAAAAAAAAAAAAAACACGGCGGCTGTCGTCTCGTCTGCACTGCGTCTGCTGCGGCTTTTCCCTCGATGACTCCTCCGGCAGCACTTCTGCCACATGAACATAACATTGACGCAGTATTACTGTCTCACCGGTTGGTTTTGCCTTATGTATGCAAATCATGTGGCGAGTACTTGCCCGCTCAATCGCAACACCACTACGATCACTTACATTAACTTAGATTTGGGAATAATACGTCAGATGTGGTGTGCCTTAAATGGTGGCTCAAGTCGTTGGCATTATGCGACAAATTAGACCTGAAATTTAATCGTAGAGGTCTTCAGAAGTGTAAAATTGATACCTGAACATATGCGGATTTAAAATCTGACCTCATGGTGTAGACTTAGACGATCTTTTGCTTTTCAACGAACTCACAATGCAATGTTATAGGTAGCTGGCTCGAAGAAAGTGGGAAAGACTGCTTGTCTGGAACAACTTGCATGCCTCAATGATATCACAAACCAGGTGCGCTTGAGTTTTCTTGAAATTTATTATAAAGCGAATTGCTTCATAGGTACAAGAATACTGAAATACTCTGGCGGAATGAAGAAAATGAGGCCTGAGACCTGAGAATGAAGCCTGGGCCTGAGGCCTTCTCTGGATTTTAAATCACTTTTTTATTTATAGGAAAATAAATCTTTTTTGTAGTAAAAAGTCCCTGTAAGGATTCGCTTAATTTTATAGCCGTATGTGCCGACAATTGAGGATACATATCAAGTGCAAATGGATTATGGCGATCGACCCAAAGAAATCATGGTTTTTCATGATACTGCGGGAATCAGTGAAAGTGGGCCCATCGAACTCAAGCGACCATACGTACAGGTAGCTTTCCTGCTATTTCTTTATTGATTTTGAAACAGCATGTACTCATTTGATGTTTCATACTTTCGAATTATACTTATAAGATAAATCTAAAGATTATGATCTTTGATTCTCTGAATATCTCTTGCATGCCAGTGCCAATTTGTACCTAAATCTTCGTCTCTGAGGAATAGCAAAACTATATCTCATTTTGTATATCTGAATTAGTAATTTAAATCTTTCTTGAAACTTGCCGCAGGCCTTTTTGCTGGTTGGAATCAAGCGCTACCTGTTGCATCTGAGCTGTCGAAATGTGTTATAAGATATAATCGAAATGATATATAAGATATATTGCAGTTATTTTTTAGCCTTTTAAAATATGCATCAGAAGCCAGTAGACCGTCTGGATTCAAGGAGCACTTCTGAATCCTTTTTGAAACTTTTCGCAGGCCAAAGTTTGGGCTTTTTTGAAAGACAAAACATGTCATTTGCAAAACTTGTTCGTTTATCTTTACAGGTAGCTGATGCATTTTTGCTGTTATACTCGGTGGTTGACCACGAATCTTTCAACCGAATGGATGTGTTGAAAAAAACCATTGATAGGCAGTTTGGAAAAGACAAAAAAGAGGTTCATTTTATGTTATTTCGTTGAAAAAAAATATGTACGCTGCATAATTTTGTTAGTTGCACAGTGAAGTTCTTTTTATGCGTTTTTTGCAGCTATGAAATGCAGAAAACGCATATTGACGAGGGGTTGTCTGTGTGTCCGGTGTCTGTGTGTGCGTCTGTCACGCACTTTCATCTCAAGACCTGTAAAAGCTGTGGGGCTGAAATTTCGGAAACTTAATCTGCATGCACGTGCCGGCGCCAATCCTGTTCCCCGTCCAAGTAGGTATTAATGCACTCAAACCCATCTCCGGTGTAAGCGTGGTACCCGCGCACGGGCCCGCCAAGATTTTTTCGGTAACTTCATAACTCGGGGATCTGAGAAGCTAGAACGCTGAAATCTTAGGGCAGTGTTCCCCGTCCAAGTAGGTATTAACGAGTTCAAACCTTGCTCGCGGGTAAGCATGATACCTACGTACAGGCCCTTGAAAGTTTCTTCCAGGTAAGTTGCTAACTCGGGAAAGTGGGAAGCTAGAGGACTGGGATTTTGAAGGGATGTTTCCTGACAGTTCTGGCGGCCAGTCTGAAATTCTTTTAGCTGGAAGCATCT